TGAAAACTGAAAGTATCGGCAACAATGTTTATATTTCTGGCATATTTTTTAACCTTTAATTTAATAAAACATAACCTAACGAAAAAAGTTCAGGGAATTTTTATTCTTCTGCATGGAATACTAATAAACTCACTAGATTTTCATGGGCAAGCCCAAGGTTAGTTAATAGAGAACAGGTTACCACATAAACGAGTATGTGGGCAAAATCGCTTACAAGGGAGGAGGAGATTTGAGAGCCCCTTGTGACGTATCAATATGGTATCCCAATGTGGCAACCTTATCTATTAAATGACTTTGGGGCAAGCCTACTATATAAAGATCGTGAACGAATAACAAACATTGATGATTTGTGTTAATTATTCCTCTATTTTTGTAAGAGTGGAATAAACTAACTTTATCCTACTAGGGGATAAAATGTTAGTTAAAATGGTTCATAAGTGTGGATTAAAATCCAATTATAAGTTGATTGGGGACAGAAAAAATTTAGACATGCATTGATTTTCGCCTTAAATATACTTTTACATAATCTGTTTCTCTTGCACTGAGATTTTAGGTTTAACACATTTCTTGTTGAAAATTGTATCCAAAGAATATCTGACCACGCGCATCTCTAGTTATGTTTCTGATTTCAAAAATACAGCGTGTTATTGAAAAGTACGTACAAAATAAAATCGGCATTTGGTCTCGAAATATGGTTGCTAAAAGTTAAAAAAAGTTCAGGTAAAAGTGCTCTCCTTTTAGAGATAAAAATGATAAACAAATCTTTATTGCCCTACAGATCCAATCCAATTACAGGACAATTTACAATTAAATAAATAAACAGGATATAATATAATAGACTAACTAATAATGCGAAATATATTATGACACTGCATACCTTATAATATACTATATAACATAGATCGATCTAGGTGCGCAAATCATTTCACGGAGTGACGATGTGTTTATATCATACAGGTGAGATATACACTGCATCTTTTTTAAAAGTGGCCATAGAGATTCCCATGTTAAATTTTATACCCCATGTTAACTTGTTTGAGTAAACATTCAGAGCTGAAATTTTTGCTGGATCTAATTTGGGTTATCTTTTGTCGATTTTATTAAAAGTCATGTTTTCAATTAAAGGATATTTCTTAAAAAAAGATTAAATATTTCATTATTTTTGTCACTAATATTGTAGTCAGCCATGTTAAAACAGACATTTACCTGACGTTTCTAAACTTTGATTACTCGTTCTATTATTGGTTTTTAGTGACCGAAATTCGTCAACATGCCGCAGTATACAATTAAAGAAAAAGTAGTAAATGGTCACTGATGGATACATTAAAGCCTTATCGACAACAGAGCCGGAAAATTTTGCTGTAACATTCCCACATCGTTCTATACCCGGCAAGAGCGCACCTTTTGAAATTTTTATGGCAGATTTATAAACACAGGTTTTTTCGATCGTGGACATTGAAAACGCAATTACAGTGAAATTAACTTTTATTATCTACATTTATGTTTGAATTCTATAATTCCGTTTCTTTTCTAAAAACTGCAACAAAGGTATTTAATAATTGAATCAAAATTATGCTGTCAAAAATGACAAGTTAAAATGATAAGTCAAAACCGTCTAGGATGTACCAAACTTTTTTTATCAAAAGAATTTTTATTTTTTAAAGCACAAATTAATAAATTACTGCAAAAAGTGGTAGCGAAAATTAAAGTAGAACCCTAAGGCTGTTTTCTCCGCAAAAATCAACTCTGTGTTTTCACACTAACAAAAGTTAACATAGTGTCTAAAATTTAACATGGGAATCCATATGGCCACTTTTAAAAAAGATGCACTGTAGAACTGAAATGAGAAGCCATATTAAACACGGGAGATTTAAAAAGTATATTTGTATTGGGTTTGCGTAAATAAAACGTTAAGGTTTATCTGGAATTTAATCGAGGAATCAAGATATTGAAGAGGGATAATAAGTGACTGCAATCAATTTTGTTCCGAAATAGAGTACAAGAATTTTAGACTATAGTATAGTGTATCCGCCTAAATTCTAAAGAGTCGACATTCAGTCTCTAATAATACACTATGACTAAAATCCCTGCCGGGAAAAAGATCAAATATTCTGAAATATAAAAACTTAAAAAATCTTCTCTGAATGTTTTCCAACCTAATCTTGTAACAAAAATAATAGGGAAACCATACTACACTGCAATATTCCAATCTAGACCTAAAGAGTAATACAGAGTTTTTAATACTAATGGATTTTTAAAGGTACTGGTGTTCCTAACTATAAATCCCAAACACTTTATTGACACATTTATGATACTGCTTACATGATCGTTAAAATTAAGTTGGTTATCAAAAGTTATACCAAAATCTTGTATTGTTGAAGTTCGATTAAGTGGAAGAAAGTTACAGCTGTACGCAAATAATATGGGATATTTTTTCTTTGAATATGACATTATTTTGCATTTAGAATAGTTCAAAGGGAGTTTATTTACTTCACACCAAGCATGTATTGACACTGTTCTGCAGATGACGACAGTCCTCCTGTGTATAGATCCTAGTGAATATTTTTAAGTCGTGAGCAAATAAGAGCTTTCCACAATCAACTACATTAACAATATCATTGATAAAAAGTAAGAATAATAACGGTCCTACGTTGGAGCCCTGAGGAACACCCGATGTCGATATGTAGGACCGCGATTTGAATCCATTATAGGTCACATATTGAGCTCTACTGTTTAAGTAAGACTTAAAAAAATTCTTAATAATGAAAAATCTTTCAGAGTTTAAATAATATATTCGTAGTCACTGCTACACGTGTTTCAGGCAGAAGAGAAACTGGACATACACGTGCAATTTTCCATACCTCTGGAAAGGTAGAAGTCGAAAGAGATAATTTAAATATTATCTTCAGTGGTTGAACAAGCAAAGAAGAACAATCTTTAACAAAAAAACTAGGTATCTGATCGTCACCATCAGTTAATTTGTTTTTCAATTTTTTTATACCAAGTTTAATACCGTTTTCAGAAATATTCATTATAGTAACATTAAGAAAGGAAGTTGTGTCAATATGATCCGTCGAATTATTGCTAGTAGTAAAAACACTACTAAAATATGTAGTAAATCAGTTAACTATTGATTTTGGGGTAGAGTAGATATTATTGTCATAGTACATAACAGCTGTAATTCTTGTTATATTTTTTTTGTCGTTGACATATTTCCAAAACTATTTTGGATCAATTTTTAACTTAACCTGGACTGTGTCAAGATATAACTTGTATCCAAGAAATACTTGAGACTTAATTAAAAACCGCAAACGTTTAAATTTATTCAGCTACTCTACATTACCTGTTTTTTTGAATTGCTGTAAGTATTTATGCTTTAGCTTAATATTCTTAATTATTTCAATGCTGTACCAGCTTGGATATTTTCGAGAGACTTTTGGGTCTTAAAAATAGGAACAACGAGTACAAGATTAAATAAAAATGAGAACAAGCGTCATTGACATTTGTGAAATTCTGTAAGCTTGACCAATCTTCTTCTAAAAGGACGTTATACAACGCCGTAAAGTTTGCCTTCTTAAAATTATATACCTTATACTCCACATTTACTGGAAAATTACGAGACTTAGGGACTTCAAAATTAATATCAATATTTAGAGTCGGATGACGGAAATCTTCAGGGACTAATAGATGATCATCATGGACAACTTTACAGGAGACACTAAACTTGATATAAATAAATCTAATATGTGATTATTTGAATTAGATATAAGATTACACTGGTTGAGGATATTGTAGGATAAGAAATTATTATTGATTAATTCAGATTTTGAGTCGTTTATACTTAAATTATTCCAATGTGAAACATTGAAGTCACCCATTATTAAGATTTTTTTTTTGTCGATAATATAAAGATCCAGAAGTTCAAAGAAATATTCGATATCAGATAAAAAAAGATTTGGCGGTATATAAACGATTATAATATAAAGAACCAATTGAGGACCTAGTCTGACTTTACAGCCAATAATATCAATAGAAAGTATGGCATTAATGATTTCATTTAAATTAAGCATTTCTGGATTCAGTCTACTTTTTAAAGCAAGAAGTATACCCCCTCCACGTTATTTGTGGATTAGTAAACATTGCCTATCACAACTAAAAACGGCATAATTATTATCGAAATATTCACAATTAGAAACCTCGTTAGACAGCCAAGTTTCGGACAAACCGATGCAATCAAACTCACAAAACAGTATCAGCACGATAAAAGCTGTGAACTTTAGTCCTCAAACCGCGTACATTTTGACAGTAAATACTAAACGTTATTTCGGAAAAAAAAATGTGAGGAGAAAGATCATGTTGAACAGGAATTGATTCCTATATGCCAATGCCAAACACATCATGTTTCAGTTTATCAACAGTGTATTGATATACGTGACAGTTGTTGTCCCATGCTGCATGTTCAGTATTTATGTCTTCTTGATTGGTTTTTGACTTCAGGTTTACGCAGTTGACACAACAAAGTTTGTTAAAAGATGAACTCTCGTTTCTATAGCAACATTTAGTCTTGACAAAATTTACTCAAATAAATTAATTTATCTTTCAGTAGCGTCTAAAAAGGTTGGATAAGGGTTCATTTTCCCCTTATAATTTGATAACACAAAATAAGTTTTTCATACTTCTTAGACTTCGCGAAAAACTGTCAATTTTGTTGTACGTACCTTTCAATAACATATATTAAAATAAACATTTAATCATCAAAATCGCATCTGTTTCTAACAATTATGAGGTTTTGACGATTTTTAAGCTCCCTGACTTGACTATGTCTTTATTTTAACTTATAGGGGTTCACATAAAAAAATAAAATTCGCAAAATCAAATTTTGTCATTTTTCGGAAAAGCTGGTTGTGTGTTTCATAATATACATACCTACTTCTGTCAAAATAAAATTTGATCAATGTTTTTGTTGAGTGTTAAAATGATGACGAATAAATGAACCAAGATAATTGTAAACATTTAATTCTATGAGTACATGATAGAAATTATAACACAAAACATGTTCTTACTCTTTTAAACGCATACTTTTCTCAGACAAGATGCAACTTATATCGAAAAATACTGCAACAAACTAAAATTAATCAGAATGCTTAAACTAGTAGAAACTGGATAAAATATGTACGGGTAGATTTTTGTTGGAGTTTCCGTTTGCTACGAAACTGAGAAACCACAGTGGCTACACTTTTTCTTGCGCATGCAGAGACAGCAGATAATTCCACACGGGAAACAAAAAATGCAGCAAAGCCAGCCACACACCGTAAACGCAGATTCAAATTTTCCCGCGTGGCACACTGGGCAAGTTCCACCAGTTGCTGCTGCTGTGTTCACGGTGACTTGTGTTACATCTGAAAAACAAAAAATTGAAGTGTTAGGACAAAAATAGAACTCTGCAAAAAGAAATAAAACTATGATAATGTCAATGTGGGTTTTATTTCTCTTTTTGAAATATCTGCTGTTTTATGTAGGTTTTCAAACGACTTTCACACCGCTATTACGTTTCTGTTTCAACAAAGGCGTGGACTCAGATGGTGATTACCAGTTGTGCGAATAATATCAAGAAAAATGTCCGATAAGATTATTTAAATAACAGGAAAAATGTTTGGCGTGTATTACAATACAGCAGAAGTAATCAAACTGTTTCTTTATCTAGCATTTTTTGCCACGGGTATACTCTAGATCATCCATGGGCAACCTTTTCTGTAAGACGGGCCTAACGGAAAAAATATCGGGCAAACGCGGGCCACCAAATAATTAATAATGCATAATAATTATTATATTATATTATGATAAAAATAATGGTACATTTAATACAGGAGAAACGTACAACAATAAATACAAATACACTATAAAATTAAAACAAATTTATTATTCAAAAAGACACTTCAACACAATATATGTGATCACATTGTGATGTGAAATTATTAAAAATAGTTATTCAATGGCATTAGCAAGTATACTAGTGGGATTTCTGCCATTGAATGTTTTTTATCATGCCGTCAATATCAGCACTAAGAGAAATCGACGCAATTCGTAAGGTGTGTTCTAAATTTTGGTCCGTGATTCTCGATTGATTTTTCGATTTTGTATAGTTCATTTGCGTAAAAAATTGCTCACAGCAATATGTACTACCAAAGAGACACATTATTTTACACACAAAAATTTTAAAATTTGGGTATTTGTCTTTGGGAAAGTATTTTTGGTAAAATTCAAGCAAAGTCCCACCTCTATTAAACATGGCTTTCAGGGCATCATCTGTAAACTCTCTGGCATGATTTCTACGTCCACGCCAAAAGGATTAAAAAATATGTGAAAATATTTTTCATGTTTACTAAAATCCTGGAAGCGCCTTGAAAATTCTTCTTTTAATACGTTTAGTTCATTTGCCAAGCCGCAGAATCAAAATTTTTGTAATTAGCAAGTGTAGGAAAATGGTAAGTATTTTCTGCACGTAATTGAGTTTCCCATAGTTGAAGTTTAGTTCGGAACGACTTGATGTGTGCGAACATTTCATGTATAAATTGTCCCCTTTTTTGTAAACTTACATTAAGGTCATTTAAGTACCCGGTAACGTCAACTCAAAAAGCAAGTTCGGAGAGCCATACCTCGTCCGTTAACTGGCGAATTGACTTCCCTTTCATTTCCATGAAAATTTGGATTTCACTTTTCAAATTATAGAAGCGCTGTAACATCTTCCCTCTACTTAGCCAGCGTACTTCGGTATAATAAAGAACGTCACCATATTCTGACTCAAGATCTTCCAAAAATTCCTTAAATTGTCTATGATTTAAGCTCCTCGATTTTCAAAAAATTTACACAAGTCACCACAACTTCAATTACATTACGAAATTTGATTGATTTTGCGCATAGATTTTCTTGATACAATGAAATGCAAAAAAGTGTCTATATTTACATTTCTATTACGCAATTCAGATGCGCAATTAATTGAGGAATACGATTGTACACATTGCGGGTTCAAAGTTACACCAATCAAAAAATCTTTGGCGGGCCGGAAGTTTCCGGTGGGCGGGCCGTAGGTTGCCCATGGATCCTCTAGATTGCTGGAAATTATCGGGAGTCCTTGGAAATCAGAAATTTCATATTCACAGGAAGTTGTCTTTTTAAATGTTACGATTTTTCGATATTTAAAATTCTTGATTTTTGAATTTCTGAATTTTTCGATTTCCCGGCTTTTCGATTCCTCGATTTCTTAATATTTTTATGTTTTGATTTGTCGTTGTTTCAGCTTTTGTGTTTTTCGATTTTTCGACTTTTTGATTTCTCCATTTTTCAATTTTTCGATTTTTCAGTTCCTCGATGTTTAAGTTTTGAGACTTTATAGTTTGTCGATTCTACAATTTTTCTTCCTTCCTTCAATTTTTCAATATTTCATTTTTAGGAATCTTCAATTTTAGGGTTTTAAAGTTTTAGATTTTTTGATGTTTCGATTTCTTGACTTTTCAATTTTTCGATATTTTCATTCTTCAATTTTAATAATTGTAGATTTTTCGAATTTTTAAATTTCAGATTTTTTTTTGCAATATTTTAAATTATGGATTTTCGATTATTTTTCGACTTTCCGATTTTTCAGTTGTTCGATTTTAAAATTTTTCAACTTGTAGATTTTTTAATGATTCGATTTTGCAACTTTTCAATTTTTCAGTTCATCAGTTTTTCGATGTTTCTATTTTTCAGTGTTTCGTGTGACTCTACTTTTACGTACGTCTGCCAGTATGTCAGTATGTCTGTCCGTCTGTCTGCCATTCCGAATTTTTATTAGACAGATAATCTCCGAAAGTACTGGGCCGATTGTTGTCAAATTTTGTATTTACATTAGGTATCATGTGGATTTATAGATGGTAAACGCTAACCAAAATTTGTCTAATCATCCTCACCAATAACGAGATGACGTCACTTTCAAATTGTACATAGTAAATGGGTTTTAAATTGTATAAAATAACATAGTAGTGTATGACTCCATGTTGAGTTTTTACCCAAAACGTCCAGATTTTTGGAAAAAAAAATCAAAACTCTAAAACAATATTTTGCAAATCAAGTTTGAATTTGCAAAACAGTATGCTTGTAAATCTTGCAGCTGTTGGAAGTTGTGATAAACATGATAAATTTTTAATTAAAATATATTTGCTTATCCCCTCCAAAAAATTGCTTAAATATTTCAATATTTTTTAATTTTTCAAATTTTGACGTTTCTGCATTTTCAGTTTTGCGATTTCTCAATATATCTATTTTTTACTTTCCCATTTCTCGACTCCCAACGTTTCGATTTTCAGTTCTTTAATTGTTCAATTTTTAGATTTTTCAGGCTTTTGATTTTTCAATTTTTCGATTTTTTAAGTTTGCGATTCTTCGCCTTTACTTTTTTGGTTTCTCGAGTCCTCAATATTTTAATTTCCCAATTTTTGGATATTTCTTTCAATTTTGTGATTTTTCAGTTTTTCGATTTTTCAATTTTTTGAGTTCAGAATTTTTCGATTTCTCGAGTTTTTACTTTTTTGGATTTTCGATTTTTCGTTTTTAAAACTTTTGATTTTTCAATTTTTCGATCGTTTTGTACTTCGATTTCCCAATTTTTCAACTTTTCGATATTTTGACTTTTCAATTTATTTTTTCATTTTTTGATTTTCCGATGTTTCGAAATATAAATAGGCCAAAATCGAAAAATCGAACAGCTAAAAATGGAACTATCTGAGAATTGAAAACTCAAACATCGAATTTCAAAAATTTGAAAAATTAAAAATGTAAAAATTCGGGAAATTGAAAAATTAAAATGTCCAAGTGAAAACTCGAGAAATCGAAATATAAAACATTCGAAAAATTGAAAAATCCAAAGCTTAAAAAACGAAAAACTGAAAACCCAAAAAATAAAAAATCGAAAAATCCAGAAGTCGAAAAATCGAGAAGTCGACGAATCGAAATATTGAAAAATCCCAAAACTGAAAGAAATATCCACAAATTGAGAAATTAAAAAGTTGGAAAATTGAGAAATCGAAAAACAAAAAACTGAACAACTGAAAAATCGAAACTTTGAAGTTGAGAAATGGGAAAATTAAAAATAAACAAATTGGAAAACGGAAACTTTAGCAACGTCAAAATTTGAAAAATTGAAAAAAAAAAAACCTAAAAGTTAAAACATTGAACAATTAAATTATCGAAAAATTGAAAAATCGAGAAATCCAGACATCAAAAAGTCAAAAATTAAAAATTTGAAAATCAAAAATTTAAAAATCGAAAAACTGAAAAATCGAAACCCCAGAATTTAAAAAATTGAAAAATCAATTAACTGCAAAATCGAAACGACGAAAACTTGGAAAATCGAAAAATTAAAATGCCCAAAAGTAAAAAATCGAAAAAGCGAGGAATCTAAAAATCGAAAAATTCAAAAACTCAGACATCGAGAAATCGAAAATCCCGAGGGTCGAGAAATTGAAAAATTTTAAGAAAGAAAAATTGAAAAATCGAAAAATTAAAAACTCGGAAAATTGAAAAAATGAAACCTAGAATAACTGAAAACTCAAGAAATCAAAAAACCTAAAATTTTAAAATTTGAAAAATTAAAATATCGAAAAGTTGAAAAATTGAGAAATCGAAGTAATAAAACAGTCGAAAAATTGAAAAAGCTAAAGTTTAAAGAAAAATTGAAAAACCAAAAAGTAAAAAAATTGAGAAATCAAAAAATCCAGAAGTCCAAAAATCGAAGAGTCGAAAAATCGAAATATTAAAAAATCCCAATATTGAAAGACATTAAAAAAATTAAGAAATTAAAAAATTGCAAAATTGAGAAATCGAAAAATTGAAAAATCAAAAACCTGAAAAATCGAGAAATTGAAGAATTAAAGAAGTGAAAAATCGAAACTTTGGGAAGTCGAGAAATGGGAAAATGAACGAAAGATTACTTCAGAAATCGGAAGACTGAAAATTTAAAAACGTCAAATTTTGAAAAATCGAAACATTAAAAAAATCGTAAAATTGAAGAAGACAAAAATTGAGATCAAGATCAAGATCAAAAAATCGAGAAATCGAAAATTTTAAGAATAAATTGATAAAGCCCAAAATTGAAAGATTGAAAAATTGAGACATCTACAGTTGAAAAATCGAGAAATCAAAAAGCCGAAAAATCTGAAAAGCGTATTTATAAACCACAAGTTCAGGACTACCTATGCTAGTTTTTAACGTTTAAATAACATTTATTCGACAAAGTTGTAAGATGACATCATCAATTCCTGGGAGCCATGAATGGATAAATTTTGACTAACGATTGCTTCTAATAACAAAGTATAAATTGGAAAATGTTGATTTTTTTTTACAAAAATTTTGACATTCAAGGTAA